CCCACTTTGCCTACGGGGGTGTGTCAAACTATATGTGCTGCATATTGTCTAGGCTGTAGTGGGGTAGCCCATATGGGGTACAACCCAATTAGGGTTTACTACTTGTACTCCTGCATCCTGCTAGTTCAATCATTCTTGTTGCTAGATTCTAACAATGCGCGCATCAGCTCGAATTGGGGCAATTGAACAGCGCATCATGCGTGTGGGGAAGCCGCCAGGTGCGTGCTTCCCCACTTCGATGAAAGTTCAACACCCTGGAATTCGTCGGAATGTTGGGATCGAAATTTGACATGCCCGAAATTTGAAATCCCCAATTTTCGATTTCCCGGACCTGCTAGTGCATTTTCCGAACCTCCATTTTCCAATTTCAATTTGGACATTACCGAGCCTCAATTTTTCAATTTGTCAATTTGCCGAGCCTAGGGCGCATCAGGCTCTGATGCGGCCGCAGAACGCAGCCAATCCCAATCCCAATCCCAATCCCAATCCCAATCCCAATCCCAATCCCAATCCCAATCCCAATCCCAATCCCAATCCCAATCCCAATCCCAATCCCAATCCCAATCCCAATCCCAATCCCAATCCCAATCCCACTCCCAGTCCCAGTCCCAGTCCCAATCCCAATCCCAATCCCAATCCCAATCCCAATCCCAATCCCAATCCCAATCCCAATCCCAATCCCAATCCCAATCCCAATGTTGAGATACTAGCACAAGTGGTAGTTAGGTTTAGGGCCTAGGCTTAGAAGCCTAGGCCACGGGGGGAGAGGAAGTTTGTGCCAAGAGAGAAAGTCGAGAATAGGAATGATGCAATATGAGAAACAAGTACAAGTTATAGTTCAGGAAGGGTGCACCACCAAGCAAGAACATTGTATGACTACACTACAGCTAGAACTACATGCAGTTATATATAATTCTGACATCCCCCCGTAACTGCATGCAGGAATAGCTAAGTGAAAGACACAACCTGCAGGGGTACAACACAGACCGAGAAAACAGCAACAGCAGGCAAGGCAGCAGAAAAGGTTCGGCAGCAAAGGGGCAGGCGACAGCAAGGCACTTCTGCCACCCCCTTACTCTCCTTCCCCCCCGGACCACAGGAAGGGCGGCAGGGAGAGAGAGGAGGCGGGCTGGCGCTGGCTGGTCACCCCTTCCATCCCCTCACCCTCCCCCTCCCCCTCCCCCCCACACTGCTGCAGGAGCAGCAGAGGGGGGAAGAGAGGAGAGGTGGAGGGACGGCTGCTGGTTGGTCTCACACCCGCCACCCCAGTGCCACTCCCCCGGCTCCCCCACACCCTCACACCCTCCCCCCCAGCGGCAGCTGCAGCAGTGGGAACGAAAGGAGGAGGAGGGGAAAGGAAGCACAGGGGCGGCTGCACCGAGTGCAGGCGCGGGTGAGGCAGGGGCACCGTCGCGGGCGCCAGGGGTGGGTCCGCGGCGGCTCAGAACACCGTCGCGGGCGCCAGGGGCGGGTCCGCGGCGGCTCAGGGCACCGTCGCGGGCGCCAGGGGCGGGTCCGCGGCGGCTCAGGGCACCGTCGCGGGCGCCAGGGGCGGGTCCGCGGCGGCTCAGGGCACCGTCGCGGGCGCCAGGGGCGGGTCCGCGGCGGCTCAGGGCACCGTCGCGGGCGCCAGGGGCGGGTCCGCGGCGGCTCAGGGCACCGTCGCGGGCGCCAGGGGCGGGTCCGCGGCGGCTCAGGGCACCGTCGCGGGCGCCAGGGGCGGGTCCGCGGCGGCTCAGGGCACCGTCGCGGGCGCCAGGGGTGGGCCCGCGACGAGCAGAAAAAACGTCACGCGCCACCCGGGCTCGGGACAGAAGGAAATTCGCCACGCGCTCGCGGCGCGTGACCGGAAAAACAGTAGCGGAAGCTTGAGGCAGGCCCACAGGCCAGGACGTAACAGGCTCTAATGCCATGTTGAGATACTAGCACAAGTGGTAGTTAGGTTTAGGGCCTAGGCTTAGAAGCCTAGGCCACGGGGGGAGAGGAAGTTTGTGCCAAGAGAGAAAGTCGAGAATAGGAATGATGCAATATGAGAAACAAGTACAAGTTATAGTTCAGGAAGGGTGCACCACCAAGCAAGAACAAATGTATGACTACACTACAGCTAGAACTTTATGAAGTTATATATAATTCTGACACCCAATCCCAATCCCAATCCCAATCCCAGTCCCAGTCCCAGTCCCAGTCCCAATCCCAGTCCCAGTCCCAATCCCAATCCCAATCCCAATCCCAATCCCAATCCCAATCCCAATCCCAATCCCAATCCCACTCCCAGTCCCAGTCCCAGTCCCAGTCCCAATCCCAATCCCAATCCCAATCCCAATCCCAACCCCAACCCCAATCCCAATCCCAATCCCAATCCCAATCCCAATCCCAATGTTGAGATACTAGCACAAGTGGTAGTTAGGTTTAGGGCCTAGGCTTAGAAGCCTAGGCCACGGGGGGAGAGGAAGTTTGTGCCAAGAGAGAAAGTCGAGAATAGGAATGATGCAATATGAGAAACAAGTACAAGTTATAGTTCAGGAAGGGTGCACCACCAAGCAAGAACAAATGTATGACTACACTACAGCTAGAACTACATGCAGTTATATATAATTCTGACATCCCCCCGTAACTGCATGCAGGAATAGCTAAGTGAAAGACACAACCTGCAGGGGTACACCACAGACCGAGAAAACAGCAACAGCAGGCAAGGCAGCAGAAAAGGTTCGGCAGCAAAGGGGCAGGCGACAGCAAGGCACTTCTGCCACCCCCTTACTCTCCTTCCCCCCCGGACCACAGGAAGGGCGGCAGGGAGAGAGAGGAGGCGGGCTGGCGCTGGCTGGTCACCCCTTCCATCCCCTCACCCTCCCCCTCCCCCTCCCCCCCACACTGCTGCAGGAGCAGCAGAGGGGGGAAGAGAGGAGAGGTGGAGGGACGGCTGCTGGTTGGTCTCACACCCGCCACCCCAGTGCCACTCCCCCGGCTCCCCCACACCCTCACACCCTCCCCCCCAGCGGCAGCTGCAGCAGTGGGAACGAAAGGAGGAGGAGGGGAAAGGAAGCACAGGGGCGGCTGAACCGAGTGCAGGCGCGGGTGAGGCAGGGGCACCGTCGCGGGCGCCAGGGGCGGGTCCGCGGCGGCTCAGGGCACCGTCGCGGGCGCCAGGGGCGGGTCCGCGGCGGCTCAGGGCACCGTCGCGGGTGCCAGAGGCGGGTCCGCGGCGGCTCAGGGCACCGTCGCGGGCGCCAGGGGCGGGTCCGCGGCGGCTCAGGGCACCGTCGCGGGCGCCAGGGGCGGGTCCGCGGCGGCTCAGGGCACCGTCGCGGGCGCCAGGGGCGGGTCCGCGGCGGCTCAGGGCACCGTCGCGGGCGCCAGGGGCGGGTCCGCGGCGGCTCAGGGCACCGTCGCGGGCGCCAGGGGCGGGTCCGCGGCGGCTCAGGGCACCGTCGCGGGCGCCAGGGGCGGGTCCGCGACGAGCAGAAAAAACGTCACGCGCCACCCGGGCGCGGGACAGAAGGAAATTCGCCACGCGCTCGCGGCGCGTGACCGGAAAAACAGCAGCGGAAGCTTGAGGCAGGCCCACAGGCTAGGACGTAACAGGCTCTAATGCCATGTTGAGATACTAGCACAAGTGGTAGTTAGGTTTAGGGCCTAGGCTTAGAAGCCTAGGCCACGGGGGGAGAGGAAGTTTGTGCCAAGAGAGAAAGTCGGGAATAGGAATGATGCAATATGAGAAACAAGTACAAGTTATAGTTCAGGAAGGGTGCACCACCAAGCAAGAACAAATGTATGACTACACTACAGCTAGAACTACATGCAGTTATATATAATTCTGACACCCAATCCCTATCCCAATCGTAGTCCCAGTCCCAGTCCCAGTCCTAGTCCCAATCCCAGTCCCAGTCCCAATCCCAAACCCAATCCCAATCCCAAACCCAATCCCAAACCCAACCCCAAACCCAATCCCAAACCCAACCCCAATCCCAAACCCAAATTTCGCTCCATGCCATTTGATTCCTGGCCTGTGAAACTTTGCGAAGCCATGCGATGCGAGCAAGCTGAAGCCCAGAAGGGTGGTAGGCATGGCATCATCAGAGCAAAAGCAGGGATTGGTTGCCCGAGGCAGTTGCCGTTCAGTCAGAGTGGAAGTTTGAAATTTCGGAGGGAATTGAAAGCTCGGTTCGATATCGGACGAACGAGGTTCGTACGGAGATTGGGGTATGCGGCGAGCGGAACATCAGCCCAAAACTTTATCCACGACAAGCAGCCTACGAGCCTACACAAGCACTCTGCGACTTATACTCCTGGTACATCATACGTAAAAAGGACCACTGAAATTTCAGTTGTGTAATGAAAAAACAGTCAGCAATTTGTTTTGTACAGCTCTCATCATTATGGCAAGGTATCAAACACTCATACGGTACAGCTATCAAAATGACCCACAAAGTGCAAGGTCGGCACTGCCTTGCCAGCAACTGCTGCTACTTCAGCAGTTGCTGTCAGGACTGAATGTTGCTCTTCCTCCCACGATATGCCTCTGCCATGTATATTTTGACATCGTCATGTTGGTATCATCCACATGTGTGGATCAATGCACCCACTGCTGCTGAACGCACCACACTGCTACCCTTGCACAACACTGCATTAACTGCCATCGCCTGGCCGTCACCCATGGCACCACACTACCAGCTTCTGCGCTGCTAGTCACAGCGTTGCTGCTTGCACCGCCGCCGCACCATGCCTTGCGACCCAAGTGACTGACAACGCACGGTCGCTCCCAACCGGGAATAACAGACAAGAGACAAACCAGAGCGGGTGCACATCACACATGCAACACTCTTCAATTTTTATCACGGCCGATAAGCACCCAACCGTCTGACCGCTGGACTCCCGGAATCCCAGAGGAGGAGGTAGGCAGTGTGGGTAACAGCAGATGGTGAAAAGCAGTGACAGGCAGTGACAGGCGGTGACAGGCGGTGACAGGCGGTGACAGGCGGTGAGAGGCGGGGCGAGGCGGTCTAGTCAAAGAAGTAGGGCGCATGAAGCACGTTGTTGAGGTCAAACTGCCCCCGGCGCGGCACGTTGGGGAAGTCCAGGTGCGGGTACTTCTCCCTGAACTCCTCCAACAGCTGGTGATCACCACACGTGTGGTGGAGAGTGGGGAGCGTGGAAGTGTGTGTCAAAAGGATTGGGAAGGATTAGGAAGGGGTGAAAGCATCAGAGGGGGGACGAGGGATCGGCAGGAAGTGAGGGACATTGAGCGTCTGTGTGCGCATGCACGTGGTGCGGATGAAAGATGGGAAATGACAGAGAGCTATTGGAAAGGATCACAACAGGCACAGCGGCAGCGAGGCAGCGAGGCAGGGAGGGAGCACTGACGTTTTCGAGTAGGGGTTGGGAGTGCAGAGCGACGAACTGCTTCCTGAGGATCTCATTCATGCGATCCACACTGGCCGCATGCGTCCAGTACGAGTCGTGCACGCCTGCCATGACACGCGGGTCAGGGTGGAGCGGGCCCGGCCAGCAGGGGTGGGATGGCGAGGGGTTGGCCGGGCGGGGAGAGGAGGGGCATGGATGGGAAGAGTAGGGCGCGGAAGGTTTTAGCATATGTTATTGGTGTAAGAAGAAAGCTCATGCAAGTAAGCAGGAGAATGAGGGCGGGCATGTGGGCAGGGGGGCAGGCAGGCAGGCGAGCAGGGGGACAGACCAGCGAATGTGATGCGGCGGTTGTAGCATGCCATGGCAGTCATCATCATGTGCGTGGAGTCCAGAGAGTGCACGAAGTTGGGTGGGAACGCTGACTTCTGCCGCTGCCCCACCACCTGTACGTGCCGCGGAGTGATGGGGGTGTACATGCATCGATGGACAGATGGGTGGGCGGGGTTGAGTAACGAGCCTGGTCACAGAATCTGAAGCAAATACTGGTGCCTCCTTCCCTCTCACATCTCCCCTTGCCCTCTCTCACATCTCCCCTTGCCCTCTCTGACATTTCAAATATTCTTAAAACAAACAAGGTGAGCACAAAGGGACGAGGCTCACATCGCGGCGCATGCGGTCCTCGATGAGTGTGAATGACTGCAGAGCCGTCCTGACGACCTTGCGGCCCTCCTTGCGGTACGGCTGCACCACTGGCAGCCCCAGCGGCGTGCTCCAACTCACACTCTCGTTCTCCGCTGCTATCAGCTGCGCGGGGGAACACAAGGGGCAGGGAGAAGGTAGGAGTGAAGAGGGGCGTGAGTTGAGATTGCTAGAGACGGGGGTTGAATGGAGGGATCCAAGAGAAAGCGTTGACGGGGAGAGGGAGGAGTAGGACGGGATGGAGCAGGTGTGTGTGACAGCGCTACTGGCCGGTTGAATCCTCAAGAGCCAACTACTTGCATGGCAAGTGGCATGAAAAACATGTGGTAATGAATGGATGGCAGAGAGAGGTATGACCTGCGCGCATTTGCCAAGCCATGCCATGATCTGCCGGGCTGAGTCAAACATCTGATCCATGGCTGCTAGTGTCACCTGCTACAGCCAGTGCACACACGAACACACACACATGCACAAACATATTCACGCATATACACGTGCCCACATTCACGCACACATACACACCCGAACACGTACACGTGCGAAGGAAAAAATGAAGGGGGGAAGAGGGGGGAGAGGTTTTCAGCCCGCAGATTGAGGTTGAGAATACTTGGCAGGTGCGTGCAACAGCAATGCAACCAATGCTTGAGCCAGCAGGGAACGCGCACGTACGTGCCTTGGCGCTCTCAGAACACACAACCCCTCCCAACCACACCAACTGGTTCAGAATCAGAAGACACAACCACCCCACCAGCACTACACCACTCACCCTACCACCCCCACACCCCACCACCACATCCCCCCACCAGCACCCCACCTTGGCAGCATACGCCGAGGCCGAGTAGAGCTGGTGATCATCATCGGTCAATGACCTCTCCTTGATGCGGTTCATGATCTGCGTGCGCGCGCCCACAAAGGTCACGCCATACACGGACGTCATGACGGTCTGCTTCACCAGCTTGCGGTCCACCTGCCCCGCCAGGAACCGCGCGTGCACGCCGCGCCTCCTCGCCTCCGCATCCACGCCGCTGCTGCCCTCGCGATCATCCGTTAGGTCACTACTTCTGCTGCTGCTGCTGCTGCTGCTAATGCTGCTGCCGCTGCTTCTCTTGCCGTCTCGCCTGGACTTGTCACCTGCTAGTCTGAGTGACTCGGAGTCGCTGCTGCTGCTGCTGGTGCTTGCATCGTCTTGGTCGTCGTCGCTCGAGAGTAGAGTGGCAGCTGGGTCGTTCCCACTGCTCCACTCCTCCTCATCTGCTCTACACAAGTCCGTTGCCGCTGCTGCCACTGCTGCCGCTGCTGCCACTGCTGCCGCTGCTGCTGCTGTCGCCAAGAATGGAATCGAGAGCAGCAATGTCAGCAGCCGAGATAGCATCCCCATCGCCCTGCATGGCCTCACCTCCCTCCCTCCCCTCCCCCGCATCACTGCTGCATGTGGCAGCATCGGCCACCACATCTGGCCCCCCCACACGGCCCCGCTTCCCTTTGCTAGCGCGCTGACTGGGACTGCGCGGCGGTCTGTGACTGCTTGCCGCGTCACTCTGCATCACCTCCTTCACCAGCTCAGCGATGCCCGTGTACACGTCAGCAGGCCGCTCGTTGCTCACCATGTTCACAGACCGCGCTCCCTCCTGCCAGATGGTTGGAGGAGACAGCAGGTGAGGTGGTGCGTAGTTGGGGGAAATGGTTGGGAGGAGGGGTTGGGAAAAGGGGTTGGAGGAAGAGAGAAGATAGGGATGCGAGTAGGGTTGACTAAAGGGACAGGGATTGCAAGGGGACTGAAAGCAGACGTGAGCGCGGAATCAAAGGCAAGCACATGAGCACACGCCTGAACCACTCACCACATCCCTGCACTCCCCGCACGCACACACACACACACACACACACACACACACACACACACACACACACACGCACACACGCACACACACACACACACGCACACACACACACACACACACACACACACACGCACACGCACGCACACGCACGCACGGACGCACGCACGCATGCACGCACACACACACACACACACACACACACACACACACACGCACACGCACGCACACGCACGCACGGACGCACGCACGCATGCACGCACACACACACACACACACACACACACACACACACACACACACACACACACACACACACACACACACACACACACACACACAAGCAGCCCATCCCATCTCCCCCCCCCTAGACACACAAGAAACCCCAAGCCACTCACCACATCCCTGCCGAGCGCAGCATAATGCTGCAGCCCATTGCACGACCCATCCTGGTGCACAGGCAGGCTCGAAACAAACTTCTCAGGACACCCCGAGTCCACCGCGTTCACAATCTCAAAACAAGCCGCCAGGCACTGGAACGGGTCCTCCGCCTCCATCCACCACCCGCCTCCCTCGCCCAACGGATCCTCCGCAGACGCCCGCACCTTCTCCATCCGCTCATCCACATACTTCACTCGCTCGTCGAAGCTGAGCTTGTCCGCGCCGCTCCCGACGAGGTTGGCGAGGTGGATTTTGAGCCAGCGGAGCCCGGAGGGGCCGAGGGGTTTGCCGTCGGCGAAGCGGAGCAGGCCGCGGCAGTGGTCGGCGCCGAGATGGTTGAGGTGCGGGTGCATGGGGTAGGCGCGGCCTCGGAAGTCTAAGTTGTGTGGGTAGTAGAAGCGTGGCTCTGATGCGTACTGCCGCGCCACCTGGGTGGGTAGGGACGGTGGGGGATGGAGGGGGGGAGAAAGAGGATGGGCAGGAGGAGGGGAGAGGGGTGGAGGGGGAAGAGGGAGCACGGGAGCACGGGGCCAGGAGGACATTTCAAGTTCTTAGTTTTTAAGACAGAGTTTAACGTTTCAACATCTGGGTTTCACAACAAACTCTGAGGCAACTTTTGAGGCCTATGAGAGAGCCAGCAGCGCACCTCGAGCTTGAGGCGCAGGTCCTGGCGCATGGAGTGGCGCTCCATGTTCTCCTTCACCGGGCGCTGCACATCCAGCCTGATTTAAGAATTCTCACAAGAGAAGAAAAGCCAACGCCCAGCAGCGCACGCACCTCGAGCTTGAGGCGCAGGTCCTGGCGCATGGAGTGGCGCTCCATGTTCTCCTTCACCGCCTTCTTCCTCGCCCTCCGCCACGCCTTCCTCTCCTCCTCCGTCGCCCCCTCCCCTGGCTCCTCTGGTACCGGCACCTGCCAGGGGGGAGGGAGACGGCGGGGGGAGAGATGCGCGGGAGATGGGAAGGATGGGCGGGTTGGGGAGGATGGGGGACAGAGGGGAACAAGGTCAGGGAGGGACGGAGGGGAAAGTGTGACAAGGATGGGAAGAAGCAACAAGGATTCGGATAGGAAAGGGTAAAATATCAAGTGGAAGGCACAGCAAGGCAAGGAAAGGGGGAGGAAAGCAAAGGAAGAGCGAGGGGGGGTGAAGAGTGACTTTCGAGTCGACTCAAACGTCCCCGCGATGAGCGAGCGTACATCATGTCTCTCAACGAGGCCTGCCTTGCCTCCACCGTCGAGCCAGATCTTCTCAAGCACCTCCAGCACCCTCTGGTTGATGCGCCATGGCGTGGACCCCAACACGTTCAGCGCCTGATGGGGCGAACACAGGCACAGGGAGGGAGGAGAGGGGAGGGGGGGTTGAGGAGGGGGTGCGGATGGAGCAAGAGGGGCGTGTGAACGAGAGGAGGAGGAGGAGAGGGGACGGGAAGGTGGGATGGGGGATGACAAGAGACGAGAATGTAGAATGTGGGGGAAACAGCACTAGTCGAGCCAGAGAGCGGAACAGATATCTTGCAGCGAGCGGGGTAATGCAGTGCAGGGCATGAGAGAGTCACAGAGTAAGTGAGGCGACTTACCCGGAAGACTCGGCGCAGCCTGGCAGGATCGGTGCGCTGCAGCACATTGCGCTGCTCTGGATTGCCAAAGACGCGCATTATGTTGTTGGGCAGGAAGAGGTACCCGCCCCAGTTGTACCTGCACGGTGGGACAGAGAGAGAGAGAGAGAGAGAGAGACAGACAGACAGACAGACAGAGAGGATGCAGGGGACACAGGAGAGAGAGAGGGCGGAGGGCATAGCAGGCGGGCACAATGTTGAAAGGGGCACTGGAATTTGCGCGTGCGAAGAACGTGCATGTAGCAGACCTCAGCCTCACAACAACGTCTGCCCATGCCCCACGTCGTCTTAACAACGCGGACAACAGCAACAACGACTGCGACAGCAAGAGCAGTGGGAAGAGCAACAGCAACGACGGTGTTACCTACCTGCGCCATTCTCGCGGTGGCACAAGCATGGGCATGTAGGGCATGAAGGGCACGTGCTGCAATGCCTGCACGCAGCGACATGTGAGGGAAGATGGGCAGAGAAGCAGGAAGAGAGATGGAATGAGACAGAGACAGAGACGGGCAGGGTGAAGGAAAGGATGGAAGGGGCAACTTCGACATGACCCATCTTGTCATTGCCACACACATCTTGAGGTGAGGCACAGTGTGATGTTCTAAGGTAGGGCATGGCATGGCATGGCATGGCATGGCATCTTACGAAGTTATCGAGGATGTCACTGAGCTCTGTGGCGCATGCCACCACTCCGTACCGCTGATGTGGGCTGACCACACGCAGCAGGGCACACGAGTGGGGAAGTGAGTAGGAGAGTTATAGAGGATGGCACGAGGTGATATGGGATGGGATGGATGGGATGGGATGATGGGATAGGATGGGATGGGATGGGATGGGATGGGATGGGATGGGATGGGATGGGATGCTATGACCGACAAGTGGAAGGAAAACCAAGAGGGAGAGGAAAGTGCATCAAGAAAAAAAAAAAGAAAACAAGGCAGCAGGCATGACAGGCAGGTAGTGGTGGTTGTGAGCTGAGAGACGTGGGATTGCAGGGCAGGGCAGGGCAGCACTCACCCGCCCGTGCCCAGTTTGACTCGATCCATCACAAAAGCCGGCACAAACTCCTCCTCCCCTGCATCCCCCTCCGCCGCACCATTCTTCCCCTCACTCACACCCTCGCCTTTCTTCTTCCCCTTCGCTGCTCCCCCCTCCGGCCCACACCCCCCTTCCCCTCCCCCATCCCCCTTCTTCTTCCCCCCCCGCAGCGACTGGGGCACATGAGCGGACTGCAGCAGCAGCTGGATGAGGCACGACCCCACCTGCACGTAGTGCTCTGTGCTCCACGGCTCCTGCGCCTGCGCTACAGCCGCCGCTACAAGCCGCTTCTTCTGCCACTCCGACAGCTGGCTCTCCTTTCTTAGCTTCCGCAGCACCTCCCTCTGCTGCGCCACCCGCCCCATATCCACCTCCGCTTCTTCCGCCCCCGCCTCCCCCGCGCCTCCTCCCCCTTTCCCCGCTTTCCCCTTCCCCTTCGCCTTCACCCCCGCGCCCTCCGCCCCCGCTGCTCCTCCCGCTGCTCCTTCCACCGCTCCTCCCCCTGCTGCTCCCCCGTCCCCCGCGTCCCCCGCGCCTGCCTCCGCCTGCTCCGCGTCTCTAGCGGCCTGCAGGCGCTGCTTCTTCTTGAGCGCGCGCATGCTGCGCCTTACCTCCTCCTGCACGCGCGCCAGGTTCATCTCCACCTCTACGGCCTTCCCAATCTGCGTCGCCAGAGACACTGCCTTCGCAAACGACTTATACCCCTTCTCCGTCTCGCCCCGCACCCCGCCCCCGCCGCCCCCGCCCCCGCCCGCGCCCCCGCCGAACCCGCCCTGGCGCTGCCCCTGCGCGCCGTCCCTTCCGCGCGCCTGTTCTGAGAGCAGCAGGTCCACGGTGCGGTTGAGAGTGATGGCTGCGAGCTTCTCCGCGTCTACCTTCACCAGAAAGTCCCCAAACACCTGTAGCGCGCGGTCCGCGCTCGTCAGCTGACCCACCCCCGTTCCCCCGCCGCTACTCTTCCCACTGCCGCCACTGGCGCCGCTGCTGGCGCTGCTGGACGGCGCGCGCTCGCCGCCAGTCTCATAGCGCGCGCGCTCGTCCAGCACGGCGGACTTGAGGCGCGCGAACCACTGCGACATGAGCTGTTTTCCCATGCCCGTGCGCGGACCCATGCGCTTCTTCATCATCTCCTGCTGCTCCCGCCGGTACTCCTCCGCGGCCTTCTTAAACGCCTCGACTTCCCGCTGCCGCTGGCGCTCCTCGTCCTCCGCGCGGACCTTCAGCTTGCTGCGCCGCTCCTCCACCTCCTCCAGCGCCACGCGCATCAGCTCCGCCACGCGCGCGCGCCACAGCGCCTCCTCCGCCACCGGCATGCCCCCGCGCCCGTCCCCGTGTTCCAGCGCCTCGTGCGCGCTCGCGGCGGCTGCGCCACCCGCGGCGGAAGACACTGCCGCTGCTGCCGCTGATGATGGCGCGGCGGAAAGGATTCCGCCAAGCGCGGAATCTGTGTAGTGCCGCTGCTGCGCCAGTTGCACCTGCTGCTGCCGCTGCCGCTGCTGCTGTCTCCGTTGCTCCTTTCCGCCCACTAATCCCTGCCCCCTAGCGCCGTCCGCGCACTCCCCGCCTCCCTCCCCTCCTCTTCCCCCCACCCCTGAACCCGAAACCCTGCCGCTGGAACTCGGCTCGGCGCGCTGTGGATCTGCGAATCTCTCCGCCACAAGCTTTTCCCAGTTGGTGCTGCTGAAATCGCTACCAGAAACCCTAGTGCTCTCGGTAAAACCCTCCTTCAGGCTGCTGCTGCTGCTCTGACCCTGAGCGCTCTGTAGCTGGCCCAATCGGAACGAGCCACGTCGGATAGGGTCCAGATCTAACGTCCACAAAGGCTCCGTGTCCTCCGTTATTGCCTGGCCCCCTATCTTCGCCTTCGCTCCTACTTCCGCCGCTTCTCCCCATGAAGCTAATCCGTCCGCTGACCCTGAATGTGCGCCTAAAGCTGCGCCTTCAGCGGCGCCTGCATCTGCGCCTTCCGCTGCGCCTGCTTCCGCCTCTGCGCCAGACACCTCTGAAACCGGCTGGGGGACGCCTGCAGGCGCGGCGGTTCCGGAAATGCCCCTGCCGCGCGCATTCCCTTCCCCCACCTGCCCAACCCCGCTCCCCCCAAGCGCTCCCCCAAGCCTGCGCAAGGCATCCTCCCGCCCCCCGTTCCCGCCCGTCGCGGGCGCAAACCCCGCGCCCCTGGTAGGCGCCAATGACCAGGGGCCGGCGCTCGCATCCTGCCTTGACCCGCTGACCGCGTTGACCGCGGCTCCGCTGATGGCGGCGTCCGGTGCGGTCACCCACGTGTCGATGACGTGGAAGACGGAGGTGGGGCAGACGGCAGCGAGCAGCTGTCGGCAGGGCAGGGCCATGCTAGTGGTTAGCACCGCTGCAGGCGCCGATTTCGTTGTCGCAGCCGCCGCCGCCGCCGCCGCCGCCGCCGCTGTCGCTGCTGCCGCTGAGGCGTTCGCAAGATGCCTGGATCTATCGGAGGGGAATAAATGCTGCGAGATGGCGTCGCGATCTATCAGCGCAGGCGGGGGCGCGGCGGAGGAGGTGGCGGAAGGGGAAGAGGAAGGCGCCGGAGACGGGGAGGAGACCGAGGGAACCGCGCACGTGTGCACATGCTGACGTGGCATATCTCGCACGTGTGGAGCCTGCGATGCGTGTCGGGATGACGTGGACGGTCGGATTGGGCCTACCGAGGGAGCTTTGCCGGAATTCAGGGTTTTAGCGATATCGAATCCTTGTGAGAACGACAGGCTGGGAGAAACCCCTTCTCTTTGGCGCCTTTGCCGGGAAGCAAGAGGGGAAGTGGATCGATACGAGCGAGAGCCTCTGTATCTAAGGGGCCGAGATCCGGAGTGAGAGAGATAGAAGGCGGAAGTGGAAGGGTGCGAGTGGGAGATGCCAGCTCCCCATCCCGTGGCTGGGCTCGAAAGAAGCGCGGAGACTGCGTGCGATGAACGAGTCGCGATTGGAACCGCCAGATCCGCCGCGTTCGCCGCGCCGGACGACACTCGGCCGGCGAGATCACAACCGTTGTGACCCTGTGCACCTTCGCAGCTCCGCACTGCGGCGCCGCTATCAACCCTGGCGGCGAAGGCGGCGCTGCTTGCGGCGGATTTGGCTGCGGCATCCGCGGAGGCCACGGAGGCGCTCTGCTGTGCGGACGAAGCTTCCCAGAAGCTCTGCAGCTGCCCGGCCTGCCGCCGCACAGAATTCTTTCCTCTGTGAAGCGTGGCGCTTGCCGTGGACGTGAAAGGACCCCGCCACATGGCTGCTCGCGCTAAGACCAGATTATGAACACGCCGGCGAGCATGGAAAACAACACGCGTTTCGGCCAGACGATTTGAGGAATACTTGTCTACTCGGTTGTGAGCTTGGTCCTAGTTGCTTTGGCAAGGGAGATCATTGCTGACTATGCGTGTGCAGTGCACCAAGAATGCAACGGAATGTGCCTTCTGGCCGATGTGCCAATAAAGAGGGGCGCTGTCTGCGAAGGATTGCAGCACAGCGATGGCCCAATCACAGACGTCGCAAATCTCCCACTTTTGTCTTGTCCAGCAATGGGTCATTATACCGTATGAGGTGTGGGGCTGGCTGTGGCTGGCGAGGGAAGGCCTTTTCTGGTAACATCGTGTGCTGCTTCCGCTCAGTGTAGCTTGTAGCGAGTATGGGAGGGAGCTCCGAAGTGTATTGGGAACTCCATTAGGCTGATGATAATCTGTTTTTCCTAGTGGTATCCGCCACCACTCCACAAATTTTGTTGGGAAAATATGTCAATGGTAACTTACATGGGGCACTTTAACGCGTACGGTAACGATTTCAACGCGTTTGGTAACTCGCTTAACACGTTTGGTAACTCGCTTAACACGTTTGGTAACTCGCTTAACACATTTGGTAACTCTACACTAGTGTCAAGATAGTAGCTAGAGGTGAGGAGCCATGCTAGGGTGAAGAGGAGAAAGTGACGAGAGAGTTTAGGCAAGGAAAGAGGTGTTTCACTATAGCACACAAGGTACATATAGCAAAGTAACAAAGAAGGTGCACCACCAACTCTTAATAATAATAACTACAGTACCTACAGCACGCAGGGTATATATTAAACATATTGTTTGACACACCCCCTTAGCCTGCGTGCGGTAGAAACTGGTGCAGCCAGCACCCCCTGAACAAGCGCTGTGGAAGAAGGCAGAGAAGTGAGGAAGGTGAGAGGAGAGGAGAGAAGAGGAGAGGAGAGGAGAGGAGAGGAGGTGGGGGGCCAGGACCGGCGGACCCGCTTACGAACCTCCTTTTACAAAGGGGAGGTGAGAGAGGGAAGGGAGAGGAGGTGGGCTAGGCGGGCTTGAGCGCGAAAGCTCATAGCGATCCCCCCCCGTTAAGAACCCCCAAGTCCCGATGAGGAGAGGAGGTGGGCTAGGCGGGCATGAGCGCGCACGCTCAATGCGATCCCCCCCCGTTAAGAACCCCCTAGTCCTCACCCCCCGCGTCACTCAACCCCGTCAACCTCACACCTTCCGCACCTGTCTTCTCCCGCCACCCCCTCACCCTTCTGCACTTCTCTCCCCCCTCTTAACCTCGCTCTTCCCCCCCCCCCCCCCCCCCTACAGCAACAAGTGCTGCAGGGAGAGAGGAAGAGGGAAGGGAGGGACAGCCTGCTGGAGGTTCACACCCGCCACCCCCACGTCTCCCCTCCCCCCCCCCCCCCACGACTGAAGCCGCGGAAGGGAGGGCGGGAGGGGGGCCAGCGTGAGCAGCTGCCGGCGCTGGCGCTGGCGGCAATCGCAGCTGCTGGCGGTGGCGCTGGCGGTCCGCGCAGGCACTGGCGCTCACGGCTGGCTGCGGCGCTGGCGCTGGCGCTGGCACTGGCGCTCGCGGCTGGCCGTGGCGCTGGCGTCCGCGCTGGTGAAGGCGGATCGCGGGGCGACGAGGGCCGCGAGGCGACGAAACGGGGTTCGCGGACGACGGGAAGGGGTGCGCCCCGACGACGGAACGCAGGGCGCCGCGGCGACGGAACACGGGGCGCCGCGGCGACGGGAACCGGGCGCCGCGACGACGGAAAGCGGGCGCCGCGGCTACGGGAACGCGGGGCGCCGCGGCGACGGGAATTAGGCGCCACGGCGAACGGGAAAAAAAAAAAAAAATAGCGCATTTCGCGCTGTAGTACGGGCGGGCCCATGATTCTTAAAAAAAAAAAGAGAAGGTTCCGGGAAAGAACCAGCTCTGTACCATGTCAAGATAGTAGCTAGAGGTGAGGAGCCATGCTAGGGTGAAGAGGAGAAAGTGACGAGAGAGTTTAGGCAAGGAAAGAGGTGTTTCACTATAGCACACAAGGTACATATAGCAAAGTAACAAAGAAGGTGCACCACCAACTCTTAATAATAATAACTACAGTACCTACAGCACGCAGGGTATATATTAAACATATTGTTTGACAACTAGCAGCCCATCACGCGAATGGTAACTACATGAAATTCCCGCCGAAATCTTCCTGCAAATGAGGAATTTATCGAGTTTGAGAGCTTTTACGCACATCATTATCTTTCTTGAACGCGTCCCGCCACGAAAATTAAGGACCCCGTTTGTTCTATTACCACGGACCGAAAAGTTCAAAATTTATATATAATCATCTAGCTCGTACAAAAATGGATAACATCATATTTTGATAGCATAATTGCGAATTTGCAAAACGATAAAAAACTATTCCCGAAAGGACATAGGGAATTTTACTTTTTTTTTTAATACTGCAACGTTGGTAGATTTTTTCATGTGGAAAAAAAAACCTTTTCAAAATTACATCTTTTTATTTTTTCAATAAAGATCCATAAACCCCTGGTTGCAAGAAGTTTAAGGTTGTTGCTCTCAAATTTATTTGCCATCTGAAAGGGATATAGATTTGTTTAGAATAAAGTACAAACAGTTTGCGGAAAGCGCGCCACAAACATTTATGTAAGAAAAGCTGTTTCAACAAAACTTACGTTTCTGTACTTTGCTTGAAAATCGGAAAGTGTGTCAGGATTTCGGAAAGTGTGTCAGAATTTCGGAACTTTGTGTCAGAATTTCGGAGAGTGTGTCAGAATTTTCTGCTTCAGGATTTGTCAATTTATTCTGACGCGAGCGGGAAAAACCAGAATCAGGCTCAATTTCGGTGGGAATTTCATGTAGTTACCATTCGCGTGATGGGCTGCTAGTGTAGAGTTACCAAATGTGTTAAACGAGTTACCAAACGTGTTAAGCAGGTTACCAAACGCGTTAAGCGAGTTACCAAACGCGTTGAAATCGTTACCGTACGCGTTTTAGTGCCCCATGTAAGTTACCATTGACATATTTTCCCAATTTTGTTTACATGGCATATCGTGATTGGGAGCAGTGTCTGAATATATGTGTTAGCAAGGTCATAGACATCTGCGATATCCTTTGCAAACCTACCAGGACAATCTGATGTCGCCATTAGGTCAGGGTTCATCACACCAGTGATAAAACCAACTCTCTAGATTACAGTAAAACGGTAGCAGAATTGAGGGATTGTGTGTCTCTGAGGGTGTATTCCTACGGCCTCCTATCAAGAAACCTCCTATCAAGAATGCACATTTTGCCTGGTGAAAGTAGCGAGAGATTTTGGGTTTAGGGAATTTTTCAGTGTGAGCTTGATAAGAGGTTTTCTTGATAGGAGGATAGGAATACGCCCTGAGAGTCATCAACAAATCTAAACCATCTATGGTTGGTCACTGGTGCTAGGAGTAGAGGTATCCATAATCTAGATTCATAGCTAGACAGCAGGGTCCACTGTCAAAGGGTGGGTAAGAATCGGACAAACTGCCAACCATGAGCAACAACTAGCACACCAATGGAAATGCCCATTACGTGAGCTGGAAAGCTGACTACTGGTGAGGGGGAACTGGGAATTAAAATATCATGGGAGGAGAGAATCGTGCCAGCGTCCGGAAACTCGCACCAGCCGCTCACCTCAGAACACCTGCAGACATCCAATCATGCGCATTCCATTGCATGTGCCACAGCACCCACACATGTCTGTGCTAAGTCCTGTGTGTCTCACGGGGCCCCAGCAGACGTGACAGAGGTGGGCAGGCCCTTGGCCTGCATGGTCTTGAGAGTGTTTGAAAGCCAGTCCAGCCCCTCATAGAGACCCTCGCCCTTGGGAGCGCATGTGCCCTGAATGTGCCAGTAACGGTTCCGCAGCTGCTGCAGCCCCATCGTCTCACACACCTCCAATGGCGACAGCGCGCCTTTCTGCCAAGGAGAGAGCAGGTGGGAGTGGTAGGAGGAGAGGAGGAGGATCAAAAGGGATAGAAGGCAAGGGGATAGCAGAACGGAAGGAAGCAGGTTGAGAGTGCAAGCGGAGTGAAGCTGTAGAAGAGTGGGCTTGTGGCTGTGTGGAGGAACAAGCTGCAAGTAGCACAGGAAAGGAGACGGAAACGGGGAGCAGCGCAGGGAGGCTTCGGCATCAAGTGCAGCAGAGTGCACTGACCAGGTCTTGCTTGTTGGCGAAGACAAGGATGGCGCTGTTGCGCATGAGGGGATCGCTCACTATCGTCTGATGGGGGACAGGCCAGACAGGAACGCAGGGAGGACAGAGGGGGGAAAGAATGAGAGAATACCAGAGAGAGGGGGGAAGAGAGTGAGAGAGGGGAAAGGAAGGGGAAAAGAGGGGCTACAGCATCGTACTGCGCCCCGTGGAGGCCACTGAGCTTTAGATCATCACCTTGCGGTCAGGGCAGGCTGTGGCTCTCAGTGCAGAGACGAGCACAGTGCAACACGCAGACTAAACTGAGGTGGTCGACACCGGAAAGACTGTTAGTGCCTGCTATTTGAGGACTCTGGTTTACCTTGGGGACTCCAGGCGGTAGGTAGATAGACTTCCACCTTACCTCACATGCGTACACGTCACTCGTTGGTACCATAGAACATTTGCAAAAGACAAGGGAACCGCGACATTATGGGTGGTTAAAGACAGGGGAAAGTGTTGGGGACCCTGGAAAGTGAGGGAGACGCTGCCATAGAAAGAAACTGAGTGGAAATGGATACAAGCAGCAACGTTGTGTGTTGAGGTAGGCACGTCACCTGGAATTCACGAGCTGCTTGCTTCACTCGCTCTTTATCAAGAGAGTCCACCACATAGATCTGAGAGCACGGGCACACAAACAGCAAGACGGTGTTGGTGTTGGTGTTGGTGTTGGTGGAGCATGACACACATTGACTCGGTGTTGGTCAACAACATGACACGGTTTGAATGAGGGACAGGCTGAAACAATTG